CATCTACAAGCTATAGTTTTTTATGTAATTCAATAATATATTTTTTAACTAGGATTTTGTTTTCAAATTCACTCTAGTGAATAATAAGTGTCTCCACTTTTCTAGTAGGAAGTGGTAGTAAAAGGAGATGGAAACATTTCAATTCCAGATGCGTACGTTAGAGTCATATGTTTTTTTGTCTTAAGTGTTATTCTCAAAGGAACAAATAAGTATGCTTGGACAAACTTTGTAAACTACATTCAGACAAAAAATGAACTAAGATAAAAATATCAATTTGAAGGAAAATTGTAGCTTTTAGAACAAAACTAATTTCAGGTTTCGATACGTTGTCATTTTTTTTGTTTTAAGTGTTATTTTCAAAGGAGCAGGCAAGTGTATGTGTATGCAAGTAAACTTATACGTTCCTTATAAACTTGTAAATTCAGACAAAAAAACAAACTAAACTAAAAATATCATTTTGAAAAAAAATCTGAAACTAAAAATCTGCAATATCATTTTAAAAAAAGATTTGTAATATTAATTTGAAAAAAATTTGTAGCTTTCAGAACAGAACTAATTTCAGGTTTCGATACGTTAATGTCATGTTTTTTTTTTTTTTGTCTTAAGTGTTATTTTTAAAGGAATAAATAAGTATGCCTATACATTCTTTGTAAACTACATTCAGACAAAAACTGAACTAAGCTAAAAATATCGATTTGGAGAAAAATTGCAGCTTTCAGAACAAAACTAATTTCAGGTTTCGATACGTTAATGTCATTTTTTTTGTTTTATGTGTAACATTCAAAGGAGCAGGCAAGTGTATGTGTATGCCTGTAAACTTATACGTTCTTTATAAACTTGTACATTCAGACAAAAAGCAAACTAAACTAAAAATATCATTTTGAAAAAAAATCTGTAACTTTGCAAACAAAACTAAATTCAAATTTGTAATCTATACCACCGAATAGTACTTGTATAAATGGAACAAAAAATCATTTCCCATGTGTAATCAAATATGGACACAGCTTCAAGATATCCTTTTTCATGCTACTCTCAGGAGTTTCGATTTTTTAAAAAGAATTAATGAATCTAAATAAATTCGTGATACATTTTTTTGAATGTTAGTCTTTTTTTAAGACCCCTTAACACTAGGTTTACGGACGCTTCTTATATACCTATCTCTATGAACACGCGTCAATTTGACGCGTGTATATGACATATAACTGCACTTACAGAGATGCCAACTTGCTCCGGATGGCAAATATGTATTTTAAAGTGGTAGTTTATCAATTGTGATTCTTGGTTTAATAAATTCAATTTAGTAGATTTTTATCCGCCACTATTTCTAAATAATTCCTAGGCTTATATAATTCACCACTGTACAAATGCAAAAGTTATATTTAGTAGTTATTTACCGTTTCATTTAATAATTTTGGCGCGTCAGGAACAGTTGGCATTTCTGCGCTTAGGAAGCAATGTAATTATATACTTTAAGGAAAAAAATGAAAATGTGAGATATATTTATGAAATATTCTAGTATTTTACTTTTCAATACTCCAACTAAGCAACTGAAACCTTCAAAATCTGACATCAATTGAGATTCTGCGTTTGTTCTTTCTATTATCGCTTGTTTCATTTGAGATAACGATAGCGCATAACCGATCGAAGTATTCTCGGTATATTCCTATTTATTATTGATGTGATGTTTGCATGTTTACTCAAAATTTTGTCTAAATGACGATTGCTTCAAATTGACGCATATCCGTAGAGATAGGTATACCACAAAGATAATTTCAATATTTAAACGCTTTTGAAGAAAATAGACTTCAATTATATTTACCTCGATCAATGGATAAAAGTCATTACAAGAGATAAAATAAAAATGCGAACGGATTTTGTAATTTTCCTTATAAAATTCGAAATGCGTCAAAATGACGCGTTCCATAAACCTAGTGTTAAAGGTCTACAATTGTTTTTATAGGTTCTTATAAATTTATAATAGGGGTAGTAAATATGCAGTAACGCAGGTAGGAGTTTTGTATTTTAAATATCACTTTATCGTTTAGATGTAGAGGTTGTCAAAAAAATAGATTAACCCTTTTCACTCGAGAGGTGACTACCAGTCACCACTGTCGTCTGTAAATTACCCATCACTCTAATTGCGAAATTTTTTACATCTTAATGTTTAGTTACCACTTCTTTCAGTTATCTCGGGGTATTGTAAGGTAAGTTTGTAAAAAATATTTCAAAATGCTAGTGATTGCGTCCATTTTTTTAACTGTTGAAAGATCTTCGAGTACAAAGGGTTAAAATCTCGACATTTATTTGAAAATCTTAAGATATGTTTTCTAGAATTCTTTTTCGGTGGGTAAAGTTTTCGTGTAAAATCCGTTTCACTGGAGAAACAAGAATTTTTCTTATTAAGGAGATGCTTCACTTATAGCCTAGCTACCACTACAATTATTTGAAATATATAAAATAATTCACTAGTATATAAAACATGTTAACACTTCATTTGAAGGTGCTTTTAAATAGATGACGGTTGACATTGCCAGTAGCTTATCCATACTATAGTTACTTTTGGACGACGAACACGCCTTTTCTGATAAAAGGAACACAGTTAACTTACGTACTATTTGTGACTGCGATATCCTCTTGTTGTTGCTACTCAGTCTCGATCACTCAGAACGGGGGCCTGTGCCCAACTCGACTGCTAATGCTAATAGCAACATAGGGGATAACAAGCCCACAACGGTGAACATAATAGCTCTCACGACTAACTAGCTTTCTACAATCATTCAATTTAAATTCACAAGTATATAAGTCATGTTAATTCTATTCTATGGATGGTTGAACGTATAAAGCTATGTGCAGATGGCGTTAGGGGTAAAAATTCGTCTTAAGACTTCCGGGTTACTACTTCCGACTAATTTTAACGCCTAAGCAAGAAAAAACGTACAATCCAATATTATTATGCTTAGTGTCTACAATATAACGTGCACTTTCAATCTAACATTCAATGAAACAAATAACTATGAACTCAGAAGACTCCGCAAGCTTGGTATGATTTTACCCAAAAAATAACCTACGGTGCTATTTTACACAAATATAGCCAGATAAGGGATAACACTCAAGGCTAGAATTACACTTTACTTATGCTGGGATATTAAATTTGTTTAAGGTTCATGCTCTGTTGGAATTTATAAATTGCAGCAAACTCTTACTAATGGTAAAATTATGCGTAAAATTAAACACAAATAACAATAATATAACTTCCCAGAATATTAAGCCTGTTCACACATCTCCTCGTAATCATAACATAAGCGGAGGGATACACAGGAAGTTTTCTAAATTTCTTCCGGTTTCAGGAAACTTGTTATCCTTTACATTCAGTCAACCATCCATAAGTAGGTACTTTTAAATCGATAACGGCTGGCATTGTTGGTAGCCTAGCCCCATACATTTCTTGTTAGCGATCTTACTTACGTTAGAAAAATGTTTTGGAAAATTTAGGATTTTCAAAGAAAATTACTCTGCTTTGATTTTGTAACAAAATGAGATCATTTGAAAAGTTACAATTGTAAAATATTATGACATCCTGACCCCGATTTCGCCCCCAAATAATTGCGTTTCGTGTTTAACCCATTTCAGAGCGACAATTTTTGATTGAAAATTTTAGACAGACAGCATATTAAAAACTGTAATCAATTTGTGTCTTAAATTTACTTCTCTTAGAGGAATTAAGTTTTAATTCCTCGCAAGGTTCAATGTGCTTTTTTATTTTATAAACGGCGTTAACAGCCGACCCAATTTTGAGTTTATAACTATCAATGTTCAACTGCGCAGCCTTGTAATTTTGAACACAACCCAGAAAAAGAGGGAACTCCCAGATCAGGCATTGGGACAAACTAGTCTACGTGGAGGAGTTTTTGATGGAACTAACTCGTATTTACGTTACATGGAAAGGAAAACCGACGGCAAGGGGCTTCTAACCCACGATCTGTCTACCACTGAGGATATTTTACGTCAACAGCTTGGTCGGTGCAATCACATTCGTACAGAATTCACATTCGAACCTGAGCCATTTTATTGGGATGCCAATGTTCCATCTCCTGAGCCAAAGCAGCTCTTAGATCAATGTACTTGGTATTTTTTACGCCTTTCTCACTCCTCTATAGTTATAGTTTTTTGGATTTGGTTACAATTGCATCCTGTTAACTTTTCTTTTCAGCTTCTTAATTCTCACCGATTGTGGTGGAAGAAAGTTAATTGCGCTTGCGAAAGCAGCAGATGGCAGGGAGCAAGCTCGGGCACTTGTCCTCCCCCCTACATGTTTCAAAGCCTTTTGGATTTTTTTAATACACAAAAAAGCAATATTTTAGTTGTTAAACATTTTAGACAGTTTCTATATAATTTAACGAAATAACTTCATCATTGTCAGTTTTATAAAAGTATTATCTTTAGGACCATTTATTAATTTTTTTAAAAATTTATTATAATTTGAACTCCCCAATTTCAATAAAGCAAAATGTAAGAATTTTTGTTGTTTTCTTAATCTAGTTAGTAGTTTTATAGTTTAATTTTTGCACAAATTGTTTTGTTTCATTATATTGAATTTTAATCAACACAGTGTAAATAATTTTTAAACGCACTTTTTCTTACTGACGAAAGTTTATTAGCATTGTTTTATTTATTTTAGTTTCATAGAAGCAAACAATTTACAGCATTTTTAAGAACATAAAATTGATATTCTGATTTGTCACAAACATATAGGTAAAATTTAGTATTAATCTAGTGTGTTTAATATTCTTATAATTACACTGAAAAAGCTAAAAAAGAATAAAATTAAAAATTTATTAAAGCTATGATTAAAGCAAACGATCTCTACTAGTGACTTATTCCTGATAGTAGATATAAAAACTTTCATTGACATAAAATAATCAGGAATTTTTTTTTGTTCAAACCAATATTTTAAATTGTCTAATATCCATAAACGAATACAAAATAAAAAAAGCGTTGAGTTATATTAAAATAAAATTTATTCACAAAAGAAATTTCAACTGTTACAATTAGAATTACAAGAGTTCTCTTCTGAATCTTCATTCTGAAATGAAAGCAATTTTTAATTAGAGAAAATTTTAAATTTAAAAAAATAAATGTATGAATGTTTTGAAAGTAATCTAATTTTACAGAAAACTTTATATTGCCACAATTCAATTTTATTGATGTTAACATAGAATTACTTTCATCTTTTTGCTGACTAGAGACTCTTCTAACTTCTTCTGACGCTTGTTTTGAGATTTAAGCTGCTTTTCTTTTTCTTTACTTTTAAAAAGACTGGAAATAAAATATAAATAAAGTTTAAAAACATGCCTATAGGTATAACATATTACATAATTTCAATTTGTAAACTTTAATTTTTCTATGCATAATTATTCTTACAAAATATACATAATTCTTAATATTTTCTTACAAAAAAGTTTCACAAAATTTTTAAAAAAAAGTTCATACGCTATAACAAGGTGCGTAGCCAAATCCTTCAACAAAAATAAGCACCTTTTGAGTACGTTTTAAGTACTATATATATTAACAAAATGCAAAATAATTTTCAAAGATTTTACATGATCACGATAAAATAATCAGTTTCTCTTTTCTTGATTAAATTAACTATTATAAAATGATCAAAAGGTTTTTCGGGTCGGGTGAAAAATGAAACCTGAAATTGAAAATATCTTGCAAAATGCAGCAGAGTTGCACATGAAGGTGCAAGAATCTCAGACCGAACCCAGCTTAGTACACGCACATGTTATTTAATCAAACATGTAAAAGGATGGGCGCGTTGTCGTTGAATGAATTGTAAAAACATTGAATAGAACAATATAAAAAGTACGTTTTCGTATAATAAGTGGTGAAAATTGACGAGGTAAAGAAAAAAAATCTAATTTTCGAAAAGGGAAAATTAAGCACTTTTTAAAAACACTCAATGAAAAAAGCACCTTTAAGGGCTTTTAAAAAAGGAAAATCCAAAATAAGCACCTTTAAGCACTTTTTAAAAACTCTACGCACCATGCATAACCAAGAATAATAAAAAAATCCAAGCACTGATTAACATTTCTGAAACATCTTACTGTGTTCCATTTAATCATGGAAGTAAGATGGTCACTTTACAATAAAGTGACCATCAGTATGATGGTGGCAATGAAGCACTGGTGGCGTAGTTGGTTAAGCCATCACTCATACTGGAGTGGGGAAATGGGGGCCATGAGTTTAATTCAGGTCACTGACAAAAACAACCCGCATGTGCACGCAGCAAAGTGCACTTAATATCTTCTTGATTGTGATGAGGAAGTTTAGAGAAAGGAGTAGCAGCTCAGGAGCTGTCGGAACTGGGAAAAAACTTACCTGATATTCTGATCATAGGAGTTAAAAGACAGAGCCTTGAAAAATAGTGCTTGGCCATGGTCTGGTACTGTGTGGTAATGTGGTTAGTATTGCCCACACTACAGCCTTTATTTCCCAAACAGGGTGGTACTCAAATACCCTGGTACAACAATGTGCAAAGTTGAGTTGGCCTTAGGAAATGGAACCCTAATACTTGTAAATGGCAAATGAGCGCTTTAATCACTGTGTGATTGCTTTCCTAATTTATTATAATTAATATCGGTTATTTATGAGCTAAAGTACACAAAAATATGCAGTGTTCTCCCTGAGCGTTCTGGCCTTTTTGTAAAAATAGGCTGCCATCCTTAAAAACGCTATCTTTTTATTTATTTTTCAGAAATTTTTTTTTAAATAGCTAATTATTAGCTTTAATTATATAGCTAAAGACCGCATGAGATATTCACATCTTTTATTTGGGAGGATATTGATGAATTTTTTAATGATTTTAAGTTTTACCATTTGATTTATTTTGATAAATACCTTTTAATTTAAAAATGCATCTTTAAAGTTGCTCATCAAATAATCCATTTTTTTTAAGTTTACTTTTTTTTGAAGAAAATTTATACGCAGAGATTGTCATTAACTTGACTTTAATTATTTTTCAAAAGCTTCAACTTTTTCTGTTATTTTGATAATGAGAGAGAACTATTTTGTGAACTATACACATAAAATATTACAAAAGGGTAATTTTAAAATTGAGGATCAAATTCAGTTATTATGTACATAATACTATTACATATTTTGATAAATTATAACGGTGTTAGGTAAGTACCCTTTTAAAACTGAAAGTGCCCTTTACTACAAATAAGCACCCTGTCCTATTGGAATTCCTAGGTTGAACTCTGAATATGTATTTCTATATATTTGTGATACAACTTTACAAAAACACCTCTAAAAATAAAATTAGTTTTGCATAAAATTGTGTCATCGTTTTTCTTTATTTAATATCAAATACTTATGAGGAAAAGCACCAAATATATATATATATATATAAATATTTACAAATAAATTTGTGTTATAATTTTACAAAAATATCTCTAAATATAAAATTAGTATTGCATAAAGTTTGCCACAGAAGTTTGAAAAATGTAGACTAATACTTAAGCAATTCAGTGTTGTACTCTCAATTAGAAAATTAACTAAAAGTGTTTCCGCCTCCAACGAAGATACTAATGTTTTTAATGGATTATACAGTTTATGAACTACGACTAAAATACTTTGCTTGTACACATACTAGTAAAATTAATTTTTTAATGAAAGGAAAAAAAGTGCTATACATATTACCTGCTAGTAGTTTTTACAAATAAGTTTTACAGTAAAACTTATTAACAGAAATGCCTCATATACATTTTATATAATATTAAATACTTTCTCAAGGTTACATAAGTTCACACCATTTGATGTAATGTTATTTTGATGTGATATATAATCATTCTTTTTGGCTAAATGTTGCAAGACAAACAATTATGAAGTTTATTTCTGAGTATATATACCATGAAAACTACACCCAGATAAAAGATATGGTGCCAATCAGTAAGTCTGAGCATTTGATTGTCATTCTTATCAACTTTATTCTATCCTTATTTAATTGTTTTTTTTCTTTCAAAAACTAGATACATTTTAAAAGATGTGAGGCAACATAAAATTTATAATTCAAAAATATAATAAACAGAAACATGTAATTTAATTAAAGCAATTAAAAGAACTAAACTTTTTAGAATGTATTTTTAATTCAAAATTTACTCTAGTATTTAAATTTGTCCCACAGTATGGTACACCCAACCATGGCCAAACCTCTTCTAGTCCCATTTTTCAGGTCTCTAATTTTTAACAGTCATGGTAGGAATACCATGCAATTTTGACTGGTTATCCTTTTTCCAAACTTCCACCACAACCAAACAGAAGACTTTCAGCCACAACAGATTTAATAAGTCTCTTGCTGTGTATGTGCATCCACTGTCAGGAACGAGCTCTTCGCGAGCAGCGTGAATGAGTCCTTAATTGACTGTCACACCAAAGCTACATAAACAGCATGATAAAATTCTTGACATCAATTATTAATAGGGAATTAAAGAGATATACTGTAAAACTTTCGAGCAACAGACTCTTGCGGAACTGTGTCTATGTGACCGATATTAAGAGATGGCCGCTATTAGGAATTATAAACGAATTGGTAGTTCAAAAATTACAAGCAGTATCAAATGGCAAAAAGACATCATGCATTTAATTTTTAACACAGCCGAATAGGGTTGTTAATTTTTGTGCGTTTATACCTTTTTGATATCCAAAATAAATAAAAAATTATACTTCAATGTATGAAATTTTTGCTTACAATTATTACTCATATTTAATTTATTCATTTACTAAAGTTCTTATTCAGATATCCACCCCTCCAGTGTCTAGAAGGTGAAAAAAGAAAAATGAAATCACTCAACAAATATTGGTCGGCACATGCACACATTGCTTCTTTCACGCAAATGCTGGCAATTTCTGCAGACTACTTAAATTAAAAGTTGACTAATGACGCATTAAGTGCTACTTTTCATTGTGTATGTTAAAAAAAGATTATTGTGATTAATGCAGACCAGTCATTAAAGATGCAGATTATCTTCAGTGGGTGCAATTGAACTGTCAAATTTATGATTGACTTCTGTATGAATACCTAAAAATTTCAACAAAACAAAATCCCTGTGGGCCATCCTTGAAAGTTGTAGATTATCCTTAGTGGGTGCAATTGAACTGCCAAACTTATGATTGACTTCTGTATGAATACTTTAAAATTTCAGTAGAACAAGATCCCTGTGGTCCATCCTTGAAAGTTGCAGATTATCCTTAGTGGGTGCAATTGAACTGCCGAAATCTATGATTGACTATTGTACTGTATGAATGTCTTAAAACTATTAGCAATGACTTGAAAGCCATGACAGATGGGAGAAAATATATATATATATATATATTTAATAAAAATCAGTTAAAATTATTGCAGATGTGGCCATAGTTCAGAAATCACTGTTTAGGGGTACCCCATAATGTAAAACCTATGGAAGACATTTGTTTAGAGGTGGTCGTTAAGGGAGGTTTTACTGTGTGATTTTATTTACTGTATCTCCTCATAAACTAGAGATATGGTTTAGATGGAATCTGATTAACCAATAGCTTTTAACCAGCAGTGTGAGCAAGTCTTAAACTGACTGTCCCACCAGAAAGCCACACACACTATGATCTGATTCTAACATTAATCACTATTAGAAAATGAAAAAGATATTTAGAGTCTCCTCATAAACTAGAGATATGGCTTAGATAGAGTCCCACTAACAAGTGGATTAAAGTGTTAAGAATTTGTGTGATATTATAACTATCATACCTGGTAGTTGCTCTGCATTTTGGGCCCCAGTTAGGAGTGGGGTTAATTTGGAATCGGAGAAGATGATTGCTTCGAGATTCAGGATCAGCATCTGGATGAGTTTCAAATGAAACTTGGGTTCTGTAAAACATTAATTCTAATGTTGAAAACATTTCAAATACTACAAATAGAGATAAGTATATTTAATAGAGAATATTCATTAGCAGTTTCAGAATTGCGTCTGCATAAAATCAATACTCAATCAAAGTAATCAGTTTTTTTAAAAGAGTCAGAAAATGAAAATCTTAACAGACAGAAATCTTAATCTTACAAAATAAAAATCTTTAATTTATGTAACTTTTTTTTTGATGTATGGTTTGTTTAAAAGTATAAAATAAATCTTAAGAGTAAAATCTATTACTTGAAAACATTTTAACTTATAAATATAGCAAACACTTGATTTAATAAATTGATTATTTTGTAAAAGAAGTTTCAATTCCTAAAAATTCACTTATGAAATCTAGTTTTAAATTACATCTTAATATAAAAATTAAAACCATAACATGAATTATTAACTACACAATTTTTCCTTAGTATACATAATTTTTTTTAAAAAATACAGAATTAAGATAAATCCTTATATCAATTATAAATAAATATGAGACTAACATTTTTACATTAAATAATAAACAAAATTTTTTTTTAATATTATCTATAAAAAAAAATTAAAAAGAACAAGAAAAGAGAGTAGTTTAAAGTTTAATACAGGTAATATTGATTTAAAAAAATGCATTTACTTTGAATCATTAGCCATTATTGTTTTTGATGGTTCCAGCTCAAATGTTTTTTTGCCAGGATGTAATTTTGCCTGAAAATGAAAAACAAAATTGAAAAAAACAAAACTCCATCAATATTATGATTTTATACATTAACAGTTTCATCTTTTAACATAGTTTCGAATTATAATCATTGAACAAAAATGTTATTTAGCTTATTCATATTGTCATTCAAAAAATTATTCATTTCTTACAACCTTTTTACGAAGTCATAAAGTTTTGAGAAACATATTTCGATTTTAGCAAAAATTAAACATAAATGCGTAACAAGACAACTAAGGTGTCATATCTCAGTTAAAATTTAGGACAATGCACTTTTTAATTTAAATTAATAGCAAAGCATCTTTATGAATTATCTGTAACCACCTGCAACTAACATAATTTGAATATATATGCATATATAGCAAAAAATAATAAATTGAAAGAATCAATTACTGAGAAAAGTTGACAATGAGGAAGCAAAGCAGTAATATTTACTTCTTTACACTATTTTTTATTTATATTTACTGGTTCAAAGACACACATTATATATATATACATACATGAAAATTATTTTTGATAAACCTTTTTTTTTCAGAGTGGAAATTAAATTATTCATTATTTACATATACAGAAGAGCCTTGATTTTTCTCTTGAGTCCATTTGTTTAAAACGAGGGATACGGAAAAACGACGAATTCGAGTCAATGCAAGATATCAAATAATGACTTGAAAAGTATTGAAGAAGCATAGGATGTGAAATCTAATCAGTTTACAATAAGTATAAAATCTTTAATTGAAGAAATCTGTATTTAATGCAAAATTTTTCATGATGCAAAAGAAAGATGAATAAAAACCTTTTTTTATTTAAAAATTTTGATTTCAAAACACACTGTTTTCTTCTCAGTACAAACAATAAACGTACAACATTCATAACACATTTCTGTTCATTTTACGCAAGCTCACATAAATACAGAAAATTCATCATTGTTTTAAAGCTTCATGGCCTTCCACAAATGTTGGCAGCGGTTTTGTAATTTTTATTGGCATCACTTTGCACTTTTTCAACTTTAGCAACCATTTCTTTAACCCACAACAACACAAGTGTCAACATTTTCCTTAGTTGATACGGAAACATAAAACCTGTTGTTTGAGGCATTTTCCATCAATTCAACATTCAATTTACGTTTTTAATTGACTATAACTAATCCTCTCTTTCTTCTTCATCATTAGCATTAGAAGTTACTGAGTTTCTTCTGGAAACAAAAGAACATCAATACATTTTTTAATGTTGAATTTTCAAATGATAGAGCCAAGAAATCTGCTAATTCCAAAAACGATCTAAGCAGGTTATTAAAATTACAGGAATAGCATTTGTTACAGGACTATTAAAACAAGACAATACGAATGGAAAAAACAAACGATGTGGGAACAATGGATCGAGGTTCAAATGTACAAGTTTCTACTTTTAATTTCAAAAGAGCAGTTTTGAATTGTCAGGATTAAAGTATGACACCAGACAATTGTATTGTTGCATTAAAAAAAAACTTAGTTTTAAAAAATTAATTATTAAAAATAAACCAAAATTTAAACTGAACAACTAACATTGTAACTGAAATTGCCATTCAAACTTTTTAAGAGGGGAAAAAACAGAATAATAGCATTGTTTAAACATATATAGAAAATACTTTAAGTATAAATGTTAACTGTGATATAAATCAATCTAATTAAGAAACTAAAATAGGATATCTAATCAATGAACAATAATACAAATGGCCATAGTATTACAATAAATTCAATTTGAAAACTAAAAGCATAAATATATTTAACTTCTCGTATAACTAAAATAGACAAACCCAGGATTTGAAGATATCCCATATTACTTCTTGAGGAGCATTTGTTTTTATTGAAGTTGGTGAACAATGGGATATTGAAACTTTGTAACCAGCATGAAGAATAGCAGATCTAAAAGCATAAATAAAGTTTAGCTAAATTTTAAATTTTCTTTAATTTTTAATTATATGAAATCAAATGACCAAAACATATTTATCAGAAACTATTAGCAAAATATTTAAAATAAAATCCTTAAATACTTTAAGATTCTTTATACTAACACTTCTTTCTCAACTTATTATCCAACATTTACTAAGATTATACACTGTAAAAAAAGACCAGAATTACAAAACTGTATACATTATGTATTAAATTAATAAACTCTTCTGCAAATAAACCAGGTTCTAAAATATTGGGAAACATGCAAAGTATTCAATCCAAATTAATATGTTTCTACACTAGGTGCTAGGCGAAAATCAAAGCAAAAATCATTTCATGTCTTGCAAAGTATTGCTGGAATTAGTTTCAGTCATTATTTAAAATTTTAAGTGACTGATATCAGAAATTTTTTTCCTTTAATTCTGTAAGTAAAAGAAAATATAAAGCAAATTTAGGAGATTTTGCAACTGGCTAGTAATAGCACTTTTAACGGTGGACACTTTTTAAAACACGTGGCCTCTTTTTCAATTGAAAATTTTAAACAATTAAAAAACTTAACATTAAGAAGGTATTGCATTTCTAAAGTGAGATAATTATATAATATATAAAAACTTAATACAAGAAGCAATTGTGAAATAAAGTAATTTTCCGAATATTATAAAAGATTCATAATAGTTTATAAAAAAAGTGGCAACGGGAAAATTTTTTTTATCACCATTTGCTACATTTTCTTGTCCTGTGATGAGTGAAATTTTACTCTATACCATTTTACAAAAATAAACTATGTTATCTACTCGCAGTTTCACTAAATTACTAGAAAAAAAGTAAACAACAATGAAAATCTACATAAATTTCAAAAAAACATATTTATCAATGTTGGGTGTATAAATATAAAGGCATGTAAAGGTATTATATATTTTTTAAACACCATAAAAACCCTATTTTGTTCCTGATTCTCACTATATTGACATCAGTGTTCAGTATTATTTAATGTAGCAAATCACCCTGGGAAGAAATACAGCTACACAGCACACCGTAGAAGAAATCATACACTTTACCATGAAAATAATTAATCTATTTGGACTCCATTTTGCTTAATACATGGGATTTATAATCATCAAAATCGACCTACATCAATTAAAAACCGTTGCTTAATTAAGAAATTCAAGTCAAATAGTAATAATAAATAATCCCAATATAATGTAATGACTTTATTCTGGGTGATTAAGAATTGGTGAAATAAATGCAAATTAAAGTTGAAAAATGGTTAAAAAATAAACAACAACAAAAAAATTGAGAGGCAATAATTTACATGGAAGCACTTTTAATTGTTGCAAAATTGCACAGGCCCGAAACTTATGATCTTTGAAGAAGCTTAATAATAATTTTTTAGGTTTTAAATCAATAAGAAAAACTTAATTGAATTTAAAAGAAATATCACATAAAAATAATTATTATGCAAACTTAGTAAAAGCAGATAACATAACTATAGTATTATAGTACATATAAACACATGTTAGGGCGTGTGTAAAAAACAACAACATAATATGGAAGATATTTTAATACAAACCTCATCTGAATATTTGTAGGAGATATCACATGCAAGACACTCGATAAGCGTTCTATTCTATGGAAAAGTGGACAGTCATCCAATTCCTTTAATAATAAATTAATATGTTTTTAAAAAAAACAAAGGATTTTTTTTAAAAAGAAAATGCACTATTAGCTTTCTAAGAGAGATTAAATATAATTATTAAATAATGGCAAAGAAAAGACACTAAAAAATCATCAACTATTAACAATGTCAATAACAAACATATTTTTAAAGTATGAAAACAAAAAATGTTTTATTCTGAAATACATTATATCTCTTAATACTACCACAGATGATTTAATTGTTACCTCTAATATAACATTCAAAACTCCTAACATGCGCTTGGATGTTTTGTAAAGCTCAGCTTCTTCCTTAACAGTCTCCACAGTTTTTTCAATAAAATCTTTGTTATGCAGATTTTTAGACCAAATAGGACCACAAACCTGTCAAGAAATAAAACATTTTTACCTTAAAAAATTTATTTTTATTAAAAATAGGTACTTTTCAATTAACCCAGCACAAGCTTTTTAAAACATTATGTTGCCAAAAAATGTAGACCTACTCCAAAGTTTAAATTCTTTTTTTTTACTATTTTTATTTTGTGATTTTTTAAAACATTGAAAAAGAAGACATTCACAAAAATTTAAATAAAATAACAAAAATTAATTTTTCTTTTTAAAAAAATACTGAATTTCCTTATGTCTGGTTAATTAAAAAATACCAAATATTACGTAACTTTATATTTTCAAAACAAAATATACTAGTTTTCCTAAATAAAAAGAACATGCTAAGGTTAGTGAAGTAGATGGTTCCAAAGTAACTTGATATTTCATTTGACCTTTTCTCGCTTTTCAACAAAAGTGATTAGAATTAAATTATAAATACTCAAAACCTGTTATTTTTCTTTCAAGTAGGCTGAATATGCCAATAAACTAATCTTATGCACTCGACTTTACAGTGACAGAATAAAGGTTTAACTGTAAAAATAATTACTAGTTTTAAACATATCTTTAAAAAATGCGCGAAAATATAAAACTCACCTTAAACGAATGACCACAATTCATACATTTTGAGTCAACAGGAGGACCAGTACCAGGTGAATACTTTTGACTAAAAAAAAAAAACAATATAAATATCGGAAGAAAACTAGTAAATCTAATACTTCGAGAAAAATATTAAAAATATCCATAAAATATTTAAGATAACAATTTTTAAAAAAATCCAGATTCATAAATTAGCTTTAAAAAATATTAATCACATATAAATAAACAGTATCACTTTTAATGAAAAGTTCACAGAATGTTAAACAAGTTTTAATACAATGTTAAAACTTTAATGAGTTTAATTTAACACAATCACTAGTTTAAACATCAATGAGGATAAAAGTCAATTTCATTTCAACCTCACCTTCTTATCACATAAACACTTCTCTTGAAATAACAGTTTTATCACAATAACAGTTTTATCAGTTAAATGTTATATGCTAGGAGTTTTTCTAGACAGTTTAATCTACATGCTGGGCAATTTAAAATTTAAAGTAATTCAGTTAAATTTTATTAAGAAATTCCAAATCCAAATTAATGTGGCTCAATTCAGAAAAAATATTTCAGTTAATAATGTCGAAAATTTATTAAAAAGGCAATACAATTATTTAATAATTACTAACGAATCATTATTTCATGAATATGTGAAAGATTCTTACAAGTAACATGAAAAAGTTTCCTAAATTATATAATGCGGATATTTTACTAGAAATTTTAAATCAAATCTAGTCATTTTAAATCAAAAAATTTTATTAATGGCAATAATAAAGCATGCATTTATATTCAACAAATATAAAATGATATTAATTTTTACAATAAATAACAAAACATTTTAAAGGAATAATATAAAGTCAAATTACTTTTCTCAAAAAATTACCATACGTATATATTGATTGATTTCTAGCAACTATGTGAAGTAAATATATTAGGACACAAAAAATGCAGTTACTTTCAGTTTCATAAAATGTAGTTAATATAAAGCTTTGTCCATTAGTCAGAAAACTCATTTACACATGCAAATAATGAAAGAAAACAAATAGTAAAGTGAAATTATTCATATTTTTAAAACGTTAAAAATTAATAACAGTCATACCCTTTCTCAGTTTTTAATTTTTTTCCAAGTGGTTGTAAATAGTATGATTCACATCCATTGCAAATATAAACCATAGAAAGCTTGCTAAAAGATAAGAGACAAAACATTTAATAAAACTATTGAAAATAATTAAAAACAAATTAAAAGTATACAACACAGTTCATAGACAATATAATAACTAAAAATTAATTTATAAAAATAATGCTGAACAAAACTTTGAAAATTAAAGTTAATGTAAGTACCCACACTATTTGATATATTGTAATAAATATTACTAAAAACTACATCAATTTTGAACAAAAATGATATATGTTAGAACCTTTACTTTAACATAAAAGAATATACAGTAAAATTACGTAGATTAAAATTATTTTTCAGCTTTTAAGATGCTTAAAAAAAACCCCCACCATTTTAATGACTTTAAGTGAATTAAACATAGAGTTAAAAAAAAAAAAAATTCTATAAAATATATTTTTAGTTTTACAAAGATACAAATTAAAAATAAGCATAACTTACCAAACACTATTTTTTACAGCAATCGGGCTAGTGAATATCCGAACAAACAATCTGACATAAAAATCTACACTGAGAGATAAGATTGGTTCGATATACCTTCCATATCTGTTTGCATGTGATTCAATAGCCTGCAGGACTATACGGAGTGCCTGTGAAATGTAACGGTTTCTTTAAGAGTTGCTTTTTTTTTTGAAAAAAAAAAAAGAAAATATGTTTGAAAAATCTATTTAAAAGTGTAATAGTATGAAAAATCTATATAAAAGTGTATTGTAAAGATTTTATAATTTTTATAAAGTATCCCTCTATATTGAAGTAGCTAAATCAGATAAAAATTATTGATAAAAATTTATGCATTTAATTTTTTTAAAAGAATAAATGTTAGAGTAAAAATCCATTTAAAGGGGAAACAGATTTTATATTTTTTTTTTTAAAAATCACACTTTATAAAACAAGTTAAATCAGATAAAGATTATTGATAAATATTTATACTTTTATGATTTTTTAACAAAACTTTTTCCTTCTCAAATACAGCAATTAATCAAAGTAATGAAAATTGTATGTATAAGAATGTGTGTAGAAGTAATATTAAAAGGAATAAAATTGCAACTGCAGGACATTGAACCTTAAAAACAGTGCAGTAAAACACAATAGTCCTAAATAAAAGAATAAGTACATTGAAAGAAATACCAGAACTATAAAATTATCCTAGTAAAAAATATTGAAATATATTTATCAACAAATAATAATTTCTCTTCTAAAAAATGAATTAAATAATGTGAAAGTAAATACTGTAACCCATTTTCCACTTTGTCCCCCTTGATAATTTTTATTTTAATTTAACTTTAATATTTTATAAATAATTATTGAGACCAATTTATAAGACTTAAGGATTACAAACTCAACATAAAGAAACCCTAACAAATATAAATATAAAATAGATCAGCACATAAATTAAGTCAATTCAAAATATGATATTCTCTGCAGAACAAAAACAGACCATTTCATGGCAGCTACCAATCTTAGCAGATACTGCTCCATACTTTGCATGACAAGCTTCTATACCATTACCACATAATATTGCCATATCAGTACAGGTTATCATTAAAAGACCTGTAACAAGGATATACATTTTTCAGACAAAATAAAGAAATGAAGTATGCATCATTTTTTTTAAATAACAAAGAATGAAAAGTAAAAAACTTTTATTAGTAATAAACTATAACTCTAATTAAAAAAATCCATAGAAATGTAATTTCCAATAAACATTTTAAAAAGGAAACAGTAATAATTAAATTTAATAATTTTATCTAATGAATGTTTAACCATATTTCTGCTCATAAACATAAATTCTTATTTTACTATCAGCTCAATAATTAAAAATGTTGCTAACTCTATTAGTTACCAGAATAAGAAGAAAATCTTCAAAATCTTAAAGTTACTAACTCAATACAATAAATAAACAACAGTAACATATTATTTAAAAAGCCTTTACTTTTTCATTACACCAATTTAAATAAAGAATATCTTCAATTATTTTTTAATAGAATAATTCATATTTAAATTATTAAATCTTTATAAAACTAAGACAGTAAATTAAGTAGTAACAACCTACAATACTGTCTTTATTTATCATTTTTTTTTTATTCATAGTGAGTTAAAATGAAAAATGCCACAAGTTCAATTTTAAAAGAATAGCTCAAATTTTTATTGAAATTTTAAATTTAAAATAACATGAAATTAAAAACAAAAGTTAATAACTTATGATATAAATCATTTGTCTCCTTTCTATTTTATATTCATTATGCATTTAAGTATAAATAAAAAAAGAATTAAAAATTTTATTAACTTATCTAAAATTTTAATAAGTAATATTTTCATAAACTTACAAAATGACACTTAAATAAATATTACTATAATACAAAGTACAGTATCTCTTTGGCATATTGGGCTTATCAGGGAAAAAGAAATTATGATACATTCAAAATTGCAAAAAAATGAAGACAAATGTAAAATAGCAAAACAATAACATACAAATATGTTACAACATCTTTGTGAATAAAGTTAGCAATAGAAATGTACTCTTAATTTTATTGCAACTTTATCTTATTATTATTCTAGCCAAGTTGATACGATGGGCAAAGTCTTCGCCTAATTCTACATGGACACAGTGTTTGATTACAAAACACTTTATTTGATGTTGCCTTAGTTGTTAAGAAGCTACATTAATGTAATGTATTCAGTGATTTCAGAGCCAAAATATTCACACAAAGTAGAGTGATGACAACCCTACTTAGTAAAATAATTGTTGTAAAATAATAAACAATGATTACAACCATCATTACAACTAATAACTAATGAAAAAGCACAATTTTTTCTAGCAAACGATCTTTTAAATGTTTGGCATTTCCGAATTACATTTCAGATCATCAATTTTACACTTTTGTGTTCACCTCAGTAGTTCACTAATTCCAATCGATGCTATCCTAGAATATTTTTCTCACTCTCATGTTCTCGAAGCTTATCTGAAGTTGCATTTTTCTCTATTAAATCTGTGCAAAAAAGTTGTCATTGCAGTGAATGAAAACTTATGAAGAAAAAAAAAGAGGGTGTTGGTAAGGTCGGAATAAATGCCTTCTTAACGAGATTTTGCGTAGGTAATGAAATTTATATTTTAGATTAGCAGAGCTCCAAGAAACTTTAGTCAGAACATAAAATATTGATTTGAGGAAATCCACGAATTTGCGGAAGAATAACATGCCTGATCTTTCGGAAGTGAGTCATGTTTAGAAGATTTTACATTTAATGCAGGAAAAGATACCAGTGCTTAAATCTGTATTTTATAACCATAAATTATTAAAATATTAAATGTAATATTTTCGCTTTTTTCACTTTTAATTTTCTTTTAATACAAAATAATGAAAAAAAGTATGAAAAATATGTTTAATAAAAATTCTGCAGGCAGGGGTTTGCTTAGAAGAAATTTGGGTCCGTTATGGACCCTTCACAAAATATCTTTTCATAAAAACAGACCCTTCACAAAATATTTTAACTTAAAAGCGGACCCTTCACAAAATAATTCATCTTTTAATCGAATCCTTCACAACTTTGTTTATCTTCATTATCGTTTTGTTATTCGAATAAACCCTTCCCAGGGGGGAAAAAAACTTATTCACATTATTATTATTTGCACAAATTCACAAAAGCAGGACTCTGGTTGAAAGAATGTGATTTAAAGCTTATTTTACATTCACAAATTACAAGTAATTTTTTCACAATTTTACAAAAACAGGACCTTTCACAAAATGTCTGGACAGACCCTTGGTCTGTCCAGACATAAGAGAAGGGTTAAAGGTCTGAATTAGAGAAGGGTTAAAGGAAGAATTAGAGAAGGGTTAAAGGTCAATGATATTTAAACCCCATTTCTACCTTCAAGAAACAGTAACCTATTCTTCTAGTGTCATGGTGTGAGGAGAATACATAGAAAATGCTAATCATCAATAATTTTATCTTAAGAAAAAAATTCTGTTTTCTGCGAATTCTTGGAAAGAACCATACATCCAAATATACAAATGAGCTTTCCTATTTATTTACCTCCATCGCTAGTGCACTGAACAGCAGCATCTAAGAATGGAGAAGCTGTTCCATATGGATCCAAGTCCACCACATCAAATCTGTCCTTCACATGACGATTTTTGTACATTAGCAAACTGTTGAAAAAATTTAGAAATATTAATAACAATATAAACTTTCAACACATTTTCTTTATTATGACATTGAAGGCAAATTATTTAAAAATACAACTAACACTATTTCATGTCTCACTATAGTAAGTTAATATACTATATACCTAGAATAGTAAGATATCCAATGAAAATATTTTGGATAGTATCTACTCCATAAGATATAGACACGCTTCAGAATTTTTGCATATTTCATTAGACTTTATAAAATATTCAAAAACTAAAGTCCTACAGTGTGGATAATTTAAAATCGTTAGTATAATACATCATTTTCAAATAAAATTCAATTTATTTCTGTTTTTCTAGTTTTTTCCAACAATATTAAAATTTTCAAAAGTTAAATAGGAAAAAGTGCTTGCAAAAATTTATTATTTAGCAGTTGGTCTATTCAAAAACTTCTGTTTTAATCACACATTACTAAATTCATAAAGATTTTATGTGTGTATAATTTGGACATAATTCAAAACAAATGTCCAAAGGGGATATTGATGATGAAAAATTGAAAAGGGTTCTTGAAATGGATGATCTATCAATAAGACTTGAGTATGCTACATGCAAGGCATTTGTAAAGCAATCTTTGGTTTATGATATAATCAACATCTGAAATTGAGGGATAAATTCAGAGAAGTTTGAAGAATTATCATTGAAAAGACTAGAAACATGTAAAAATAAATTCTAGAGATATTGAAAAAGTAGAAACATGAGAGAAAAAAAGTATTATGCAAAGTTACATCTTTTAATTTGAGTTTAATCCTAAGACAAGATTACTACAGTAAAAATTAAATTTAGAGCAAACACCTGAAGGGAGGGGTGACATAGTAACTTTCATATATGATATAGGGTAAGTGATTTGGTTATTTTTGTTGACAAGTGGGTAGGAAGAGTTCAAAATAGCCAAAAATATTTTTATGTGATATTTGAACAGCCCTTAAAGTCATTTATAAAAATGGTTGAAACAATTTTGCCTTACATGGAAAAGAAATATTCAATACTCAATTACTTTTTTAAATTATTCATTCAGTTTCTCTTAAAATTTAAATATTTATTTTTTGAAGGAAAAAAAAACTTTGCTAATTATAAATGCAATCCCTAATTGCTTTCCTTCAGGGTTGGCATGATTTAAATAATTTGATATAAATAATGATTAAAATCGCAATTTAAATTACTTGATTTTTTTTTAAAGTATTTTAAAACTAGAATTTTTTTTTGACCCAATTGATTTTTTTTAAAGAATCATTATGTAAAAAATATATTTATAAATATATTCTTTAGGGTGTGATTCTTGTTAAAGTCTGACTTCATTGATAATGAAGGTAATATCGAAAGAAAAAATGAAAGGGCAAATTATTATATTTAAAATTAAACTAATAAATAAATAAAATTAGAGACTAAAAGTAACTGTTAAATTATAATTTTTCATTGGTTGTATGTAAAATAATTTGCTGATAATAAACATATTTCAATTAAACTCATTCAGTTTTAGGTTTATTTGAATACTTTATGTACTTTTAAACGATATTAAACACATACTTAGTGTTTGCTAATATTAAAAAAAAAAGACTTGTTCTGCCGAGAGAAACTTATATCATTTATTTTTAAGGATTCTGATCTAAACTAATTTACTCTTCATTGGATATCTAACAGACAAATTACCTCTCTGTCTTTAAAATTTTAGTATGTTTAGCTTAAAAAAAATTTGATTTTGCTTATTCAGAGATTAATTTGTAACAATTAAAAAATATCAACTATTTTAACTATATTATTAAATTTTAAATAATATTAAGAATAGTTAATATATTTTATCGGATGATTTGGCTGGTTAATATATAGTATATATATGATTTAAATTTTTAAAAAAATCTAATTTAAATCAAACAAATCTCATTTTCTTACCTTTTAAAAAGAAACATGAATTTCACCAACCCTTTTTTTCTCACATTTTGCAATTTATGACAGAAAAAAAAACATTTATTTCTTTTTTAACTTTAAAAGATATTACTTACGATGCATCTTCATTAATTGATTGAACAATATCTTCAACATGATTGTGTTTGATATTTCTTTCAATGCTAGCAAAGGCCTGCCTATCTCGATCATTAGCAATAATTTGCTCTAAATTTGGCACTTCTTTGGCAAAGCGTATGGATCTCAACCCAGAAGCTGCTAAAGCTTCTAATACTTTAAGTTTTGGCTGAAAAATGATAAATCTGAGTTAAAATAAATAAATATACAAAATTAAAGTAAAGAAAAGAGTAAATCAATAGCAAATTGTTTATTAAATTACCATCAAATTTTTTTTATCATTAGTACATATTTATATTTCAAGTTAAGAATAGCTTAAGATATTATTGCAAAAAAGATAGCATTATTAAGAGTTATTCCAAATCACACCTGTATACTCAAAATTTGGAAATTCACTAGCTTCGTACATGAAAAAAAAAAAGAAAAAAGATAAACATTTCTAAAACAACGTCAAAATTTACGGTAGGTTAAAAAATATTCATAAGTAAAGTAAAAACGTATTTCACACGTGTTTTAATCAAATATTAAAAATATAGAAAATGGAAGAAATTAAAAAATCTTAATTAAAAATATTTTTTAATAATTAAAATGACAAATTATAATAGTTTAACCCTCTGAGTACTTAATTCCAATTTTTTGCAGCTGGTATTTTAAAGTCAGTTACAGCTCTAGTTTCTTACACATCCTTAATATTGTTGCAGCAAGGTAAATTCTATAATCATAAAATTTGCAATGAACTTCTTGGATTAATAGCACTAGTCAAAATCTGCTTCACAATACATAACTTATGTGATATTACCTATACAAGCTGACTGTCAGGACTGTTAAAAATAAAATCTAGCTGACAAAAGCGAGAAAAATAAAGAAGCATGCAAGACCAATATCAAAAATGTTGCATGTGAATTTTTTTATATTTTTTTACATTTATCTTAGAACAGAATGATACTGGCTTTTGTTTGAAGAGGCTGAAATTGGTTGTAGATGTGTCTTTTCTATTTTTCAATTGCACTAAATCACATTTTCAATTAATTCATTGGTAATTCTGCTAGTCTAGACCTAGACCACTCAGCTATTCCCTGAGACTGACAAAAAATAAATAGCTTGAGAGGGTAAAAAATTAAAATTATGGGTGTATTTGACTGTATTTCCAACTCTCGGACTATTGATGTCAGTATTTAGCTACAGATGAAGATGATGAATTCTGAAAGCAAAGAAAGTAATCAACAAGCTAAATAAAAATTTTCAAATGCAAATGCTCCAACTTACACACTCCACATCTCCGGTGAACTTTCTAGATTTAATCCTATCTTCTTTGACATAACTGCCATCACACGAGAACTGTTTTAAAATTGCAATGCTAAAAAAAACAATTAGAAATAATTTAATAAAACTCCGATTTAAATAATAACAATTCATATACACCGTAAAAAATATTATCTATGGAAGTTTACCAAAAATAATGTAATGCTTGAAACTTAAATGGGAATGTTTCCATGTCGTAATCTACAGCCGAATAATTGACAAGCTTAGTTCACTTCCGGCAGCGGTCCACAAGAAAATAAAAAAGCATCACAGATGGGGACCAACTCATAGCCACCCCCAGGAGAACCACTATCTGTTTTTTTAAAATTGTTAATTAAAGAATCAATTTTGCAATTGCAGTTGGTTCAACAAATCATGATACAGAAAGAATTCAACTTAAATTAATACACAATTTGAAAAGGTAAAATATGTATATATGGGGAGGATTTCCGTAACATGATCTATGGCAGAATTATTGTCAAGGTATGGCAATAAATTTCTTAAAAATCACAGAAGGGGCCCAACTCGAAACCATCTAACCTCTACTTGTATAAGTTTCTTTTAAAAAAACAAACTTGCACGTTTAAAATTTATTTGGCGCCTTGGCGATTGTAGTTGGCAAACAAATCACAAGACGACATCTCTAAATCTCTAAAAGGGGGTATTTCCGTACCGAAATCTGTCCTTCCAACAACGATCACCAAGGTGCCAAACAGATTTTAAATTTTCAAATTCCAAAAAAAAAAATAAATAAATGCGTAGATGTTTGCCCGGAGTGGCTACGAGTTATTCCCTTCGAATTGGTAATTTTCTGTGTTTTTTTTTTTTTTTTTTTTTTTTTTTTTTTTTTTTTNTTTTTTTTTTTAGTTTCTCGCAGGCCGCTGTCCAAAAGTCACCAAAACTTAAGAGTATATTATGCCACAGATCACGATACGGAAATACTCCTTAACACATGTAACATGACTACATTAAAACATAATTACAAATTTATGCTCATATGAAAATCGCTAGTATTTATGATTAATTAAACAAGAGGTTAATCATTAAAAGACAATAAAAGAACAATGAAATAATATATTTACCTTAAATCTCTATTAAACTCTTGAACTGGATTGTAAAAAACATCATGAGAACTCGGAAAAAGAACTTCAGCTTGGCCTTCAGCAACCACAGTGTAAGGTGTTTTGTCAATATAAATTAATTTTTCAAGCGATTCATCGGTTGATAAATGTTCTTCACTACATGAGTTCATGATTTGTTGACGACGAATATTTTTATACTTTCTAAAATAGGCACGCAAAATTCGTGAAAACATAAACACGATGAACTTGCCTTCTCTTTATTTACAATTCGATTGATATATTGATTGTGAAATTGATCATAGGAGCTAATTCTTGATTTTAACTGAGTAATATTTTTTAGTTTGTAGCTTGTTACATTATTTTTTAAAAATAGCAGATATTCTGATTTACGGAGCATTCTCACTGCAAACAATTTGCATATGCGGATGTGCATCAAACTGATTCACGTCCACCAATCACTGTAGGCAGATGCGCTTAGTGGGTTTGGATAGGGAGAATGTATTTTACCTATTCGCAAAAGCAACGCTTGAAATCGCCATCTGGGGAAGGAACCGGTTCCAAGTCTTGACCCTCGCCCTTTTCACCTTCTCCCTTCTTAGTTCCCAACATTTGAAATTTTAATAGTTGTTTTTTTTTTTTTTTTCATGCTATGTATTTTAATAAACAATAAACTGGCAAGTATTACCAACGCAATATTTAGTCTTTGAAGTTGAGTTAGCAATAGCCAATGTAAATGATTTAATTTGTAAAGGTAATAGCTGGTCGGGATAAAAATTTTAAGTGAAATTAATGATTAAAATCACAACATGCTTGATCTAGTATCCCATTAATTTTTTCAGAGGAGGTACGAATATGCGAATAGAAAAATTCATAAAAATTATTCATAAATCATGCTTGCTAGATTTTTAAATTCTAAAAAGTATTTCGAATAAAAGTTCAATAATTTATTCATAACCTTCTCAGCATGAAGTTTAAGTTTGAAATATTATTTGAACTAAAATAAAAAAAATGACGATAAAAATTATTTTTCTTTTTAAACTCTAAGCAACCTAAGTGGCACCTAATATTAGATAACATCAGAAAATCACACAAATCTAACGTTATCTTGCACAACATCAAATATACTAAAGGTCCCTGTTTGCTCTGCATTATAAAGTATTAGATCCTACGCAAACTAATATTATCTAGTGTTTGCCATAATGTTATTTTGCATTAGTTTTAATACTTTATAATATTAGAGTTTGTACTTTCTGAATCTTGCATTACTTTTTAGAAATTAGCTTAATTTAGTATACTAAGTCACTTAAACAAACTGAGAAATGTAGGGGGAAAATATATTTTGCAGATGGAAGAATGTTTTTTTAATGTAAAATATCGAGCACTTTTATAATTTTATATTTAACTGTCATTCCCCTCAATAATATTTAGTCTCAGAGGATCAAGAGAAGAAATTTAGCTATGTAAATTATAAAAATTTTAAAATTCCTTTTTATTTACAGGGCGGCCAAAGCCGGAAAAAGTTTTTTTTAAAAAATAAAGTAAAAACAAAATGTAGAAAAAATTTGATTTTAAGAATTCCTATATTGCAAGATACATTTGCTTCTAAATCAAGAGAAATATGCTTCGTCAGCTTAATTACAGAAAAAACGTGAAATGAAAGCATTTTTACCACTGTTATAAATTTTTTCGGTCATGACTACCCAAGTCTAAGTTGCATTTTAGCTTAATTTTTTTTTTTCGTTTTGCAATTGATAATTACAAAAGGATTTTTCTTTTATAAAGACAGATAAATTTCATATTCTCTAACTTTAATTTTTTTACCTATATTGACTGCAAAGTCTTATGAAAAAAGAAAGAGTTTTTATTATTACTAATAAATCATACCTCAGTTTCTACTGATCAGGAGTTTTCTCCTCTTCTGGGTTGGGTTTAAAATTACAAGATTACGGAGTTGAACATTGGTCACCTTACATTCAAAATTTGTTCTGCTGTTCAACGACAGTTATAAAATAAAATAATTGCATTACATATTACTTATAACATAGGAACAAGACTAGTTCTGGTGTTCTTGTTAATAGAGTAGATAATAGAATAGAATAGAATAGAATAGAACCTTCATTTGATCGCCTATTAATATCAACGTTTCACTGTCATAAGCTCCTAGCCTGAAGAACGGATCTTCACCAAGTTTCATGTAGTTAGTGTGCGTTACTTTTAAAAGTTTATTCAATTCCAATTAAGTTTCAACAGTAGTTTAAAACAAGAAAATTTTCTACTAAGCTATCAATGCACACGCAACAATTACTTTACTGTGTGTCAGTCTTGTTACAGAACAAAGTAGGCATAACCATCCATACTGTTTATCTAAAAATACATTTTAACAATATTTATTTAACATTGTAAATTGAGTTAAACGTTTTGTTCCGAAAAAATTTCAGACAGTTAAAAAGGTGCCTTGGGTGCCTAACCGACACCGAAATGAAAAATTTTATTGAGTGAGATAAATACTTGAACTCCATTAAAGTTTTTTATTATTAATCCTCATATTTCACCATTCTTTGACTGAAATTATATAGAGAAAATACTTACGAAACTTTATTTCTGAACTTATTTATTAGTTTTGATGCTATATATTGTCAGATTTTTTATTTTCTGATATTATCTTGCGATAATATCAGAATTAAAATAATAAACACAATGTTGATAATAAAAATACTCACAAGTTTGAGATAGACTTGCGTTAAAAGAAAATTGCTTCCGATATCATACTGAAGAATTAAAAATAGACAAATTTTAAATGCATTCAACTGTTTTCATGACACTTAAGCACTATATACTATAAAGATTCTTCTATACAGAACGTTATATTTTATAAAATTTTTTCAATGCAAATATCATACCTGACAAATTAAATTTTTTAAAATATTGAAGATTTATTAAAAAGTTGTAATTAAGAAGAAAAAAAATTCATAATAAACATTACAACAATTTCACAGCATAATAATTTTATTTAAAAACAAATTACACTAAAAATTAAACTTTATTCAAATGCAATACATTACCTTCATTGTTAAAATTAGTGTCGATAACCTTTCGGTAAAACAATAATAAATAAATTTGGTAAAACAAGTTAAAAATATAACTATTATTAAATTAAATAATTTATTTTTTATGACTTTAAAACTATTTGATACAGTTTGAGTTTATTCCTCCAATTGCAAATCTTCATATATTTGAAAATATATTTCCAAGCAGTCATTAAATCCTTTTAAGAAAGTTTTTATGAAACGTTCCGGAACAGTTAATAATGTGTGTACCACACAAAAACACAAAATAGGGATGAATCTCACAGGTTTCCCTCTTTCTTCAAACTTCAACTCCGCAATCAGCATGAGGACTTTCCGCCATGGCAGATTTAAACTGGACCTTGCTGAATAACCACACTGGTTGTTTCATTGGCTGTAAAGATCAAACTTAGAACTCCCAACTTTCCATCAAAGTGTACAATTTCCATTTGATCAGTAGCCAGTAGCCTTACACAAAATCAAATCGGTTCCGAGATTCTGCATTTGAAAACAAACAGTTTCTTCATAATAAATTTTCTTGAAGATGAAGTTAGCTGAATTTATAAAAGAAAATAAATTGAACTTTACAATGAAAATAAAAAAACACAAATTTAAAGCTATTAAACATTCAATGTCTATTTGAAACTTAAATTATTTAATTAAAACATTTTTTTCAAATAAATCCTCCCAAAGTTTGGCTCCCATTGTTTGGTCAGAAGAGTAGTCCAAACTTTGAGTCCCTTAATATTAATTTTACTTTTTGAGCATTTCTCCATATCTCGAGAGCTTCTTAAGCGAATCGAAAAATTTTTGCACACAATTATAAAAGTAGCTTATCCAAAGATAATTTACATGTAGAATATAACTTTCAGTAAATATTTTTTATTACTTTTTTTTTAATAATGGTCGGAAAAATTGGGAAATGTATAGTATACAAATTTATGATATTTTTTTTTACAGAATTCAATTTTAAAAGGCAAAATCCAAAATTCAAACTAAGTCAAACGAATAGTTAATGAGAAATCGAATTTTAAAAATGCGACTTTTAAAATATATAAAATACTTTTCAATTAAATTGAATTATCAATATTTACTTAATGTGACAATTTGCATGGAAAAATCTTTAGACAAACAAGTTCTATAATTGTATGCAAGAACTTTTTAATTCGTTTAAGAAGTTCTCGAGATATGGAGAAATACTCAAATAAAATTAACATGAAGGGGTTTAACTTTAAACCGTTTTCCTGGTCAAACTATGGGAACCATATTTCTTAAATTGTGGCTATCCCCTATCTCTTAGGGGTGAGTAATCTGAATCATTAAAAAAAAAAGGTATGTTTATTCGGAGAACGCACGATTTTGTAACTGATTTCTTAATTTGAAATATCGTCTGTGCTAATTAATTAACATATTTGAGGTCATCCGCTCAGACCATTAAGACTGAGTTGTAGAACTTGAAAATCCGATCATTTTTGTTGTCCTTTCTCTCTTTTCTTTTTCCATTATTCTAATTAATAACTAACAACTAATTTAACTAATTCGACTAATTTTAAATAACACAGGTCTTTGATTCAGTATTTAATCTATAATTTACGGAGGTGGCCTTACAGGCACTGCACCACTTCTAACTTTCCGTAGTTTTATCTAATTTTCTGCACTATTTTATAAAATCATGTTTTTAATACCATATCATATATTAACCTTATAATAACGAGGAATGAAGGAGGGACAACGCTTTTTAAGTTCATGTTTTTCATGAGCAGTTTTATACCATTTTAGGTTTTGTTTGAGCAATTCGAAAGGAACTGCGAACTCAGTTCTGAGTTCTAGCAACCGCAGTTAGCAGGATGTGCTTTTCGAGTAATAACCCTAAATCTTAAATTCTTTTTAAAATGTCGCAAGTTTTCGTCTTTGTAGAATTTAATTTAATTGAAGAAAATGGAATTTCATAAAATTTAGGTGTCGACTTAGACAGGATTTCCTTTATCAAGCGATGTTCGTAATTCCGCGTAAAGCTGTGGTAAGAAAGTAGGCGTTACTTTTTCTCGAGTTCATAAAAAAAAAGGAAATAATCTGTTTTTCGAAGGTTTCGTCGCCGTATGAAATCATGCTTTTTTGCGAATAATGTGCTATTTCCATAACTTCTGTGAAATCGCAACAGTTACTCATGACTGTTAAATCAAGTTATGCCAGTGTTGTCTATGTTTATTCTAAAAATGGCGCAAAACGTTAATTTCGAGAGAAACCATCACAACTTTCTGAAAATGAAAAGCGTTTTCCAATTTTTTAATA